GGTATCTGGGGCTTCGTGGGGGTGAGGCACATCTTTAAAAGCTATAACCACTGAATATTTCTCCTTTCAGCCCAACCCTTCCCCAGAGCATGAGGGTGTTCTCCACAGGTGCATATAGACAGCTCCCCTCGGTCTCCTCTGTGGTACTGGAGACCCTGCTGGGGTCACCTCCCTCCCTCACAGGCCATGCTGTAAGCACCCCCGTGCTTTCAGACCCTCACTCCTCCAAAATGCCCCAAGTCCCTAGGTGAGACTGCACTTTTCAGGGACCTGCTCCAAGTGCCCACGGTTAACACTTGCAGTTGTGCAGGGTCTGCAGGTGCCCGCATGCTGTCCATACGGATATATGCCCGTGTGCTCGCAATACTCACATCCCGCTGCACACACTCAGGGAAGCCACACCCATGTCCTAAATATGCATACTGCCTAGGTGACATACTGTGCCCAAGTGTCCACACCCACTCCTGCGCAGCCCTACATCTGCAAGTGGGACCACTGCTAACCCACACAAGAGAGAAGCTGCAGCTGCTAGGAAGCTGCAATCCCTCTCCTTGCCTCCTGGAGGAGCTGTCAGGCCCCATGCTCCAGCCCTGAGCTCCTTAGGGAAGACTTCAACCTGAGGCCAGTCCTCCCCCAAGCATACCTGCTGCCTAGGGAACCAGGTGAGCAGAGGGCAGCACTACCAGGTGGCACGCTGGGACCCAGCCAGCCTTGAGGAGGGAAGAGACAGAGATCCTGGTGCCTCTGGACTCATGTAGGGTAAGGGCTGACCCTCTGTTCAGATAGGCAGGGGCCCCTGGAAGGGAAAAGGAACAGCTCAGACTATAATGGGGAGAGTCCCAGTGGGAGCAAGTCAGCAGAAGAAGACTGGTGGGCCCCGGCAGGAGGCTGAGAAGGGAAGACTGAGTGCTGTGGAAACAGGAGATGAGAAAAAGATGTGGGGGCATAGGAAGACCAAGCCCAGGAGACCAGTGGGAGGCGAGGAGGAAAAGAAAGGACAGTGAAGAAAGAAGGGCCAGACAGGGATAGAGCAGTGAGGTGCAGGCTTGGGGCAGGAGGCAAGGGCAGGGCAGGGGGAGTCATTCTCACAGTTCTACCCAGCCTGCTCTTTCCCCAGGGGAGCCCTTTGCCTCACCCTTGTCCTCCCATCAGAGTTCTGGCTCAGCCAGTTTTCCTGTGCCCCTCCCAGAGGCAAACCCTCCCACTGGAACAGGACCCCTATGGTCCCCCTCACTGGACTCCCCAAACACACACTTCTTGATCAACCCATCCCCACTGGCCCCCAGGAGCTCAACACCTTCTCATCATCCCCTTCATGACACTTGAAGGCAAATCCCCCTCCCCATTCCCACAGCACTGCAGCCCCTGCCCCTCACCCCTTCACTCCCTGCTTAGAACTTTCCAATGACTCCCAGAAGCCCTTGAGGTAGAAGCCCACTCAGGAGGGCATTCAAGACTCTGACAACTTTCCTGGCTTCATCCCTAGCCCTTGTGCTTCTCTGCCACCAATGCCCACATCTGCTCTCAAATCACAAAACCACTAGCAGGTCCCCAGCTCAGCCTTCAGGCCACACATCTGCACCCACCATTGTGTGTGGGCCAAGCGCACCTCCATAGTCCTGCAGCCCCACACCTCCCCCTTCCTGGAGGTATTCACCCCTGTGTGTCTGTCTGGTTTCCCTCAGGTCTGCGAGTCTCTGAAGGCAGGGACGCAGTCAGCCCCACTGGATGATTTCCCCAGCACCTCACACACTCAGCACCAAGGAGGTATCTTATAAATACTGCCTGAGTGATTTTGTTAATGCTGTGTATCTGGACCCCCTCACCGTCTGCATGGGCTAATGGGAAGCTCATTGAGGGTCATGGAGCTACCTGTTGGTTTCCTCTGAGCCCACACCCATGTTTCCCTCTCTAAGAGCTAAACCAGCCCCTGTGTGTGGTTTAGGAGGAGTGGCAGTCTCACCACAGAGTCTGAAGCCCAAGGACCACTCTAGGTAGAGCCGGTTGGGCACCCAGTGGAGAGGCAGGCACATACCACATCCTCACCAGGCCCCCTGGGCTCCCAAATCCCTTCAGACACCACAAGGCAATGGATGCCTTACAGGGCCCTGGATTCCTCAGCCTGCCTGCCAGTCCCTAGGCCCAAGGTGACATCACCTCTTCTCAACAGAAGCTAGAGCAAGAAGATGATGCATGTGGGCGCTGCCCTTGGGAAGGTCTCAGGTTGAGAAACAAGGAATCTGCCTGATACCGGGGCGCAGGAAGACCAGGGCCAGCAGCCAGGCCCGGACACAGGCAGACACACATGGATGGGGATAACAACAGCAACCATGACTATTCTTCATAAAGTATCACTGAAGACAAGAGTCCACACTGAGAAATCTGTAGCTGTCCTCTTGCTTTGTCCTTACCGTAACTCTCCAGAGTTAGGTATAATGCTTATTCTACACACTGGAAATGGAGCCTTGGAAAGATCTAGCACTTTTTGCCTTGTCATGTGGCCTGCCAGTTGTAGCGCTGGAATTCGAGCTCAACTCTGTCCGCTCGGAAGCCTGTACGTGGCCTTCCCACCTCACTTTGTGGTGACTCCATACTCAGCGGGGAGGTGAAGTGGGGGGGTCACGCCTCAAGGCTCCCCACTACTAACAGCACAGCTCCCCACCAACTGAGGCTCCCCAATAGTCTCATCCTCGCCTGCCTTTTCACCATCATCTCCACCCACACCCACCCCACCTTAGATGTCAGTCTTGCCTTTTTCTAAGTTTTCCTCTCTGCATCTTCCTGCTGCTCTCGCAGGCCCAACGCCTGCCCCATTGCACAGATAAGGAAACAGAGGACGCAGAAGGTTAAGTAATTAGCCCAAGGTCACGCAGCAGGGAAGCAAATGAGCCTGGCTAGAACCTAGGTCATTAGAACATCAAGTAATAAAGCATTAATTTGTGTTCCAGACAATTAGGGAATGGGAATTAGCTGCTAATGGTTCAGGGAAGAGAAATCCAGCAGGTTTCAGAGTAAACAAGGGCCTGCTAGGCCTTGAGAGGAAGTCAAGCTCTGCAAGGTGAACCTGAGATGGGGAAGCACAAGAAAAGGCCAGAGAAGAGCAAGGAGATGGAGAAGAAAGAGGCTTTCAAAGTTAGGGAGACAGGGCTGGGGAGATGGCTCAACAGCCTAAGCACCTGCCTGGCAAGTGCAAGGTCCCAAGTTCGATCTCCAGTCCTGCATGCTGTGTTGGCCCTGGAACCAATCCCAGAACTGGGGAGGCTGAGACAGGAGGATCACTATGAGTCTGAACAGCATAGCAAGACTCTTAAAAAAAAATTAGGGGGTCGGGGAGATGGCTCAGTAGTTGCCTAGCAAGTGCAAGGGCCTGAGTTCAATCCCCAGTTCTGGAAAAAAAAAAAAAGAAGAAGAAGATTAGGGAGATAATGCCAACTTGCTTTGTGACCTTGAGCAGTTCTCTCCCCCTCCCCCATTACAATATGTGGATAGAATCCCAGGGGCCAGCCACAATTCTCTTTACTTATTTTGAGATAATATGTCACTGAGCTGCCCCGGCTGGCCTCAAGCATTCCATCTTCTTACCTCAGCCTCCGTTGCCAGCCAGCTGGCCCCTCTTTTTTTTTTTTTTTTTTTTAATCTGGGGATTGAACTCAGGCCCTTATGCTCTTGGTGCCTCATCTATGAACAAGGATGAACTGAGCCTGGATGCTCTGTGGGGTCCCACGTGCCCTGACAAGCTAAGCTTCTGATGGTGCATGTATTGCTCCTGGGCCTTAAAATTCACAAAATCTGCTGCTGGGCCACTGACATGGGGCACAGTTTTGGATGCCAAGCACATACAGGTCCAGCAGCCAACATGGCACCTGACAAGGGGTCCAGGTCCTATGCATCCCTTCTCTCCATCAATCCATCTGTAAGCGTGTGTCCACTCACTACTGGATCCACAGTGGGCCCCCCCCTGCTGAGCTGGGACCCAGGAGCAAAGGGGCCAAGATGGGTCTGCAGGTTCACAGGGAAGGAACAGTGTATCCTGCCACCAGGCAAAATTCAAGGCTCTAGTTCATTCTCCAAGAGTAGGGTCCTTGGAGAAAAGGAGAGAAACTTCAGGAAGCAAGAGTGGGGTTCTGGGATTGAACTAAGTACCCAGCTGAGTGGAAGAACACTGAGGATCAAGAGAGGCACCTGTCACAGCCACACTTAAAGTACATTCCAGGCATCAGCAAAGGGACAGTCCTCCCTCACAACCCGTGGCTCCATAGCACGGAAGCCATGGAGAACTCAGAGCCAGTGGGCCAGAAAACGCATCACCAGCAGCTATGTGCCCGCACATGTGCACACACATACTCACTGGCACATACAAGTCAGCACAGACCCCAGCTTGGCCAGCCATGCCCCTTCTCCCTGATAGAGCCCTTTGAGCTGCTGTCTCTGCAGGAAACACACCCTGCTGGTGACACACAGCCTTGGAAGTCACAATATCTGCTGTCCCTTGCTGGCCCTCATGCTACAGTTCTGATGCACTTGCTTCCTTTCTGACTCAAGATGTGCCAAGAGGAGGCCCACCCAATTCCACGGGGCTTGCCTCCACCCTCAGGAACGTGAAGGCGGCTCTCTCCCCAACCATCCACCTGACCTCCAGCCCCTGCCCTCCAGCGCCCCATCTCATTCACTGCCAAGGCTCTTGGAGCCCATGGTCCTCCAGTCTCCCCGGGCCTCGAGATGGACCCCAGAGCTAGGAGCTCAGGCATGCCGCCAGTCCTCTGCCTGCTGGCTGTGAAAGCCCAGGCTGACCTTCTGTGTTCTACAAGGTCACAGTGAAGATCCTGTGAGAGATGCCTGCAAAACTTTCAGTGACAAGCCCTGTCCCTTTCTCATTATCTGTCCTCAGTGTTACCTCCCTCTGCCCTTATCCCACCACTGCCCCTTCTTGAAGTCTGAGCTCAAGGCTTCATGCCACTTCACTGGAGCCTGTGGACCAAGGTGGATACAGGAGGCTTGCAATGACTAGGTGGTTGGAAGAGCCACCTCCCTGCAGGAGGACAGGGCCAAGAGGGAGATTACGGCGGCGCCGGGCCCAGGGCCGTGACATGCACCTGCCACCGCTCCCGGGAGATCGGGGACCTGCCAACTTACCCCACCCCATGAGCTCATGGCTGCATCTGCCAGGCACTGGCTCCAGGAGCAGGTGCTGACAGTGCAGCCTGGGCACAGAGCCCAAGCACGGGAAGGCAGGAAAGCTGCCGAGAGCTGACACCAGAGCTGTCCCCGTGGGGCTCACATACAGCATCCCGCTGGCCTCCACACAGGCCCTGTGGCCACTGAGCCTCTGTCTCTGCTCCTCCCAGGGCCCTGGCCTCACTGCCTCTGCCCTTATCCCCAAAACAAGGTATGAGTGCAGGTGGCCTTGCTGTGGGCACTGGACAAATGCCCTTGTGAGAATTTGCTAGGCAGGAGACAGTCAAATGCTGTCATTCCTGAGGTTACTGCAGGCATGCAAATAAGTGTCAGTTATAAAGGGACTGCAAATCCCCAAATAGATGCTTCTATCCCAGTTTCAGGGCGTTCCTAGAGGTAGGGCAAACCAGGAATCAACCCCAGCCCCAAAGTCCTCCTGACTCTTGACCTTCAATTCCCCCTTCCCCAGCCAATTTCTGGATATACCTTCTCAAGTAATCCTCTCAATCCATGCTTGGATTAAGAGACCCCTCACCAGGCCCTGGTCAGACCCATACTTGCAGCCTGCAGCTTCCTGAACTGAGCAAGGAATACCAGCTGGCAGCCACAGGGGCTGGATGGGTATCAGGGACTCCCTGTGACCCCTAACTGGCAGCCAAAGGCCTCAGGTCAGCCTGGGATTCTGCCTGGGCTCTGTCTATCCCAGTCCCTGTCCCCACCATGGAGCTTCTACCAGGGCCCTTCCCCTTATAGCATCCCATCCTGCCTCATGGCCCACTGCTGCTACAGGGACCCCAGGCCAGCTCAGCTGTCTCTGCCTCTCCACTGGCCTCCCCAGGTGTAGGGCTGGGACCACCATGGCATACCACGCATAGATGTGAACATGCACACACACATACACACACACTGTCCTCCATCCCCACCCCACCTCCATGTCCATTCTGTAAAAGAAGAGGTACACTGAGGTGACCTCCAGTTCAGGATCTCTGTCTCTCTGCGGTTTTTCTCTACTGCCCAGGCCCAAGCTCTATCCCAGAAACAGTCAGGCACAGATGCAGCTCACTAGAGCTCCCTGACTCCTGAGGAGGGAGGTATTGGCTATAGGAGCATCCATCCTCCCTACCCAGAATCTCCCTCCACCCCTCCTCAGGGCAGCTACGCTTCCTCCTCCCTTTCCCCCATACTCCACACCCCACAGAGAAGACAAAATCCCTGGAGAGGAGGACTTGGCTCAAGGCCACACCACATTTCCAGGTCGTTTTCAAGTGGCACCAAGTGGGTTAGGCAAGCATGCAGCCTGACAGTCCCCACCTAGGAGGCAGGGTGAATTCCCAGGGTAGCAGGTCACTGAGCTGGGTCTCTGGGGTGTGGCCCCTAGAGACTGGCCAGTTGTAGAACAACCCTGCCAAGAGGCTAGCTGCCTGCTGCTGCCCCCGCCTGTCCCCACTCCAAGAAAAGCCTCGTCCCTCCCCAACCCACTCCACACTCCCCTGCTCTCAGAAGCTTTCCCTGGTTAACTCCACCCAACACTAACTACTGGCTTACTCCGAGTCCCCTCAGCACTTAGAGCCAAAATTAGCTTGTGCCCATTTGCCCCGGTTTATACACTCCTCTGCCAATGTTCTCACAGTGCTATGCTTCCACGACAGTCTCTACTGCTAGTCGTGAGAGTTCCCAGAGCTAATTAAGCCCATTTTGCTAGAGGATTAGTCCCTACCCTTAAGGAGTGCCGAGGAAGGCTCTGGAATCTACACCGCATCTCACTTGGTGCAATTTTTTCCTCTAGATAATCGAGCAATCTCACTCGATGCCTGATTAAACTTGATGAAACTCCCAACAGTGAACAGCTTCGAGCAACTTCTCCCCACACGCAGGTTGTTTCTTACTTTGGTTCTTGGGGAGGCCCCAGATAAGGTCATATGGGAATGGGAATCTGTGGGTGTACCCAGAGATCAGCTTCTCCTCAGAGGGGAATTTCTTTCTTCTGAGTATTGAAAACCCTTCCAATGGGCCAGGGAGATAGCCCAGTAGAATAAGGGCTTGCCTGGCAAGCACAAGGGCCTATGAGTTTAATTCCCGGCACCACAAAACAAAAAGAAAGAAAGAAAACCCTTCCAAGGCCAGATCCCCAGCCACACACCTGTAATCCCAGCAATCTGGAAGGCAGAGGCAAGAAACTGCAAGTTCAAGCCCCGTGTATGCAATCTAACAACATAGGGAGCTCTTGCCTAAAAATTTTCAAAACATTTAAGGGCTAGGATGTAGCTCAGTGTAAAACCCCTGGGTTCACTCTCCAATACTATTTTTAAAAAGGGGTTTAAAAAAAAAAAAAAAAAAAAAATTTTTAAAAAGGGGTTTAAAAAAAAAAAAAAAAAAAAAAAAAGGGGTTTACCCTCCCGGCTTCAGGAAGAGTTGCCCACAGTGCTTCATCCCCACCAGCACACCCAGGACCTGCATAGGCCCCAGCAGGCTGTGGCGAGAGACAGACCTGGGATGGAAGCTTGGCTCTAGCACCTCCTGGTTGTGTGGGACTCGATTTCTCTACCTGTAACTTAAGCAGTGTCACAGGAACATGGCGAGAGGTAGCAAGGCTGGAGTTGAGTGTCAATTATCCCAGTAAGCTGGGCGCCATCTGCTACTTTGGTGCAGCAGCCTCCCCCTCCTAGCCCACCACTATCCTCAGGGAAGTCTCACCAACCGTAGGGTGGCATGTTTCTGAGGGCAAAAGACTTCCCCCGGGTTCACGGCTGGGGCTTTTTGCCCCATTCTCGGGTCTGCTTTTGTGGGAAGCATTTTCTGGTATCCTCACCCCACCCGTGGGTTTGGCCAGCTAAGGCCCAGGGTCACAGGAGGAATGGAGTTCCTAGCCCGGTGCACATCCACAGGAGGGGAACACAAGGAGACTTCCCTGCACCCTGCTCTCCAGTGCCTGCCTGAACACTTTCTGGGGCTCCTAGATGCTGAGCTTGGGCCCTGTGCACACAAATGTCAAAGGCAGGGGCTTCCGGGGTGGTTGGTATAGTAGGGTGTGTGGCTCCTACTGGGTCTGAGCCCTGTCACTTGGGACCCAGTTGCCCCAGTCAGCAAACACAGGTCCTCAGCACAGGCTGCGTGGTACAGCAGAGGAGCAAGGCACAGCCTACGGGCCCTCCTGACCTGCCGCTACCTGGAGACAGGGGGTCAGGAGTCTCAACCTAGAGTGAGAAACACGTGTGCACAGAGAGCGGCATAAGCAGCACTCTGCAGTGCTTGAGGGACATGCTCATCCTCGTGACCTCAGCCCTCTGGGGCGTCCCACTGCAGCCCAGCTTTTTTTTTTTTTAAAGCCCCCAGTGTTCTTTGTTTTGGGTGGTACCAGGCATCAAACTTGTATTTGCCAAGCAAGCATTTATTCCACTAAGCTATCTCCCTGGGCCCCATTGGGCCACCTATAAAATACATATTATAAATAACATGTGTAAGT